TATACTGCCCATATGGCAGCCGGTGCCACTCTGGGCAGTTCACAACGGATAAACAAACAACGGAATAACCTAATTAATACATATACAAAATAATATAATTGGGGCAGTCAAATATCATAAAGTGCAGAAGAAACCAATATAATACAATAAATTACAATTAAAAGCATAACATGTGAAAGACCAGAAGCCTAGTGGTGTGGTGGATTGCATTACTTGTTTCTGTGTGCATGCCTTGATTTCCTGCTAATCTGTAAACAATCAGGATGTGAAAAGCGAGAGTAACCCTCCCTTGTCTCTTGACGTCTGTGTGTGTGTGTGTGTGTATAGGTGGCCGACTTGAGTCCGTTTGATTTGATTGGGATTGAGAATAAAGTGACCCGGTATGAATCGCAAGTGGTGCCCAAACAAAAAGTGACCCGGAAGCTTATTGAAGAAATTTATACCTCTCCTCCGCCTGCCCCCAGGCCTAATCCTGTCAAGCTGAAGCCAAGCAGGTAAGCGAGCGGGCGGACAGGCAGGCAGCTGCTTCTCCTGTTGGCCAAAGAAGTTGTGTGTTTTTTGCAAGTGCTTTTGGAAGGGAAGGGGGACAGTGGCAAAAGAGCTCCTTGTCTGTTGGGTTGAAAAATTGTGGAGGCTTTTCTCCGTAACACCAAAGAAGTTTTTGTTTAATTTGCCAAAGCCTCTGTGCATCTGTCTGCGCGCTCATGGCAGGAGATGAAAATGAGACTTAACGACTTTTTTCCCCAGGTTATTCCAACCTGTCCCCTACGGGCAGAAGCCAGAAGGCAGGACCACTCCCTTCCCCAGCACGCAAGTGCAACAACGCACCACGACCGCCACAACAGTGGCTCAGCAGGGGCAAGTGCGAGGAAGGTCACCCATGTCTACAAACCAAGGTAAGAAAGGTATTGCTCCTCTCTTACGTTTTTCTAAGCCGCTGCATGTCGTCCACCAGCCCATTAACGTTGAAACGGTCAGCTTGGTCTCTTCCCTTTCCCCTTATTAAGGGGGTGGGTGGGCTTGAACAGATCTTCAGGAAATCCACAGTGTCTGAACTTCTCTTGAAACCCTGACAGTTACCTATATTCGCCAGCTCCTTGGAAAGCTTTCCCAAGCGGGTGGATAATGAACAGGGTGTGTTTCCAGACGCGGCACATGGATGGATATGTGCACGGACAACTGCATTCACAACTTGTGTTGGTGCTGTCAAAGGGCATTGCGAACGAGTTGTCCGAATGTCTCCTTTGTGTCGTTGCGGGGGTTGGAAATATGGTCCTTGGAAGGGGAACTGAGGTGCGAGGAGAGGCATACGTGCGTCTTGACCATCCTGCTCTTTGGTGGGTTTCCTTGTGAGGTTCTGAGCCAGGATACTATATTCGCATCCTCTTCCTATTCAACAAGAGGCATACGTGCGTCTTGACCATCCTGCCCTTTGGTGGGTTTCCTTGTGAGGTTCCGAGCCAGGATGCTATGTTCACATCCTCTTCCTGTTCAACAGTCTCCATTCATTCATTCATTCATTCATTCATTCATTCATTCATTCATTCAATTTTTACTCTGCCTTTCTCCTTAAAAAGGATCCAAGGCGGCTTACATCATTGAAAGACAGTATATAGAGCTGAAAACAATGAGTATGCAACAGTGGTTAACATCATTAAAAGACAATATTTCAGGCTGAGAACAGCGAGTATAAAGAGGCAGCTTACATATAATTAAAAGACAGCATGAAAGCTAAAACAATAAGAAGTATGCAAATATTAAAGAGGAACAAATACCACTTTGGGAGATGGTAAACACGACTCGTACTAAAGACCCCGTCAGAGAAGTAATGCATCCATCTAACGTCTGAGGAAGTGGACTTGTCCACAAAAGCTCCTCTTAAAGAATATGAAAGTTAGTCTTTAAAGTGCCACTACGTTCTTGTCTTTAAAAAAAACAAAAAAAACACCTTTATTTTGTTTTCACCTGTAATGCTTACACAGACTAACATGGCTACCCCCTTCTACAATTCACCTAAAAGTTACTTTGGTAGCCAGTTACTGAGAGGCTTGGGTTCATAAAGGTTTGGATGGAGGACAGGGGGACCTTCTTAATTTTTTTTAATACTCTCTCACTTTACAATTTCCCCCTTTTCACCCAAGTCTTTTGAGAGCTAATTAAAAAAAATGCAAGCAAAGCATAATTACCTTCCTTTCCGGGGCTAATTCTGTCCAGGATGTAGGTTAAAGCTTGCATGCTTGGATGGTTTTCCTCTGTGAAGAAAGCTTAGCAGGCTGGCAAAAAGGATTTCAGCCGAGCCTGTTTGCTAAAGGGCTAGCTTTCCTGGGGCATGTATGTAATATCCTTGATGGAGGAGGATGCTTCGCTTTTAGTTGTCCTGCGGCGGGGGGACTTTACGAGAGCCATGTGCCACTGACATGTTGTCAAGCCGCATGGAACTTAGGGCAACCCTTAACTGGGTTTTCAAATCAGCCCCCCCCCACCAAAAAAAGAAAAATAAAGAGGACAAAAATATTGCGGCACCTTAAAAGACTGAACTGTATTTTAATGTGAGCTTTCGTGTGCGAGCCCACTTCCTCGGGGTTTTTGAACTTTACGAGAGCCATGTGCCACTGACATGTTGTCAAGCCGCATGGAACTTAGGGCAACCCTTAACTGGGTTTTCAAATCAGCCCCCCCCCACCAAAAAAAGAAAAATAAAGAGGACAAAAATATTGCGGCACCTTAAAAGACTGAACTGTATTTTAATGTGAGCTTTCGTGTGCGAGCCCACTTCCTCGGGGTTTTTGAAATACTGTATCTGAACTGTATTTTAATGTGAGCTTTCGTGCGCGAGCCCACTTCCTCAGGGTTTTTGAAATACCGTATTTTTCGTTCCATAAGACGCACCTTTCCATAAGACGCACCAATTTTTTAGGAGAAGAAAACAGGAAAATATAATCTGTTTTCTTCGCTCCATAAGATGCACAGACTTTCCACCCCCTTGTTTTGTGAGAAAAAAGTGCGTCTTATGGTGCGAAAAATACGGTATGTGAGATAGGGAAGGGGGGGTGGCTTTAGAGTTTCCATGACTGAGCAGAGATTCGAACCCAGGCCTCCTGTGTGCAAGCCCATTATAGGTCTGTCCTTTGCCCCACGCTGGCTGTCGTTTCTTTCTCAGTAGTTTCCTAATTGCAGATTTCTCCAAGCCGTCTCTCCAGCGCAGCCTTAGAAATCCATGGAATTGTAGTCTAAAACCACACATGTGCACAGGTTTAAAGCCTGCCACGTGCTTTTGCTGGACGATGTCTAATCTATACTGTGATGGAGTGTGTCTCTTCGTTTGGCGTCGGCCCCGAAGGGCTGCAAGGCAGGCCTTTTTTTCTGAAGGTTTCAGCCTGCTCTGAAAACGAGATCCTGCAGCCAGCCAGCTTTATTTTTTTTATTATAATTGTTAATTTTGCCTGGCAGGTAGCAGGGGAAGAAGGGCGGGCATCTGTTCTATCCATCCTTTGTCCCTCTGTTACTTTCCATTTGATTCAGCAGGGCTTGAAAAGGCTAGAACTGGAATGGTTTTGGAAAGAAACTGTAGCTGGACCCCTGTATCCGCGGGGGATCGGTTCCAATCACCCCACCCTACCTCCAAAAGATGCTGAAAAACTCAGATTATAGCAACCTATTAAACTATTTAATAATAGCAATTGCTATCCATAGCTCGGTCTCTGGCTCTCTCTAGCGGCCAGTTCTGGTAACTTTATTATTTTTTAAAAAATTATATTCATGGCCTATTGCTTTTAATATTTTTTGAATTGTTCAGACCATGGACAAGTGAATCAGCGGATTCTGATCCAGCCGATAAGAGGGTGCTGCTGTCCTAGCCAGCAAAGTCTGAATGTCCCGAGTGTGTGTGTGTGTGTGTGTCCGTGAGTGATTTTGCTTCTGTACTTTAGCAGAGAATGTATTTTTTTAAAAAATTAAAACCCTTAAAATCTCCAGTATTATAACCCTTAGAGGGAACCACCCGGGACCGACTCTAACCGCTTGCATCCCCACCGACCTTATTGATTGCAGCCGCCACTGCCGCCGTCTGCTCTTCCTCCTCCTCTTCCTCCTCCTCCTTCGCGGCATCACAGTTTCCGACCTCTTCCGTCGGTGCTCCTCCGAGACCACCTCCGGCTGTGACCTTCGCCGCCACGACGAGCCCAGCCAAGCCGCGGGCTCAGACCACGGCGCCGGCCTTGCCGCTCGGCCAGGCTCCGCCGCCGGCTCCCCCGCACACCGTCCCCCAGAGTGTGCTGCCTCAGAGGCTGGTCTTGACCTCTCAGGCTCAAGCACGGTTGCCTAGTAAGTGGCACCCTTCCCTCCTGCCTCCTCTCCCTCCACCACCACCTTTTTTTTCTCCTTCCAGGTGTCTCCCACCTTCTGTATGTATTTCCTCCAAAAAAGGGACAGAACAAAGAACAGCAGCCAAAGCCGCTTCCCAGAGGTTAAGTTCTTAGGCACCCTAAAACATGTGTACAGAACAATTGGATCGTGGGGAATTTGATTCGGTTTGGTTTCTCGGGGGGGGGGCGGGCGAGGGGACAGACACCACTCTCCCCTTCCCTCTTCCGAGTCCCTGCGCTCCCCATCTTACATCGCTTGTTTGGCCTCAGTAATTCCCCCCCACACCCTAAAAAAAAACCCACACAAAAGTCTAAATTTTTGGCAAAGAAAAACCCAAGTCGAAAATTGCTGTGGACATACGTTAGCGGTGTCAACTTAATCTCCTCTTTTCTGCATGCTTCCTCTGCTCTCCCAGAGTTCCTTGGGATCCAGAACCGACTTTACTTTCTTCCTCCTCTTTTTGAAAGCTCGTCTCTCTCCCTAATTGGATTCTCTTTCTTGTTGGATACACTAACCTCCTCTACTCAGAAGGCTTTCCCGTAGGCGAGCGGCGGTGGGAGTCGGGAGCGGGGAGAGGAGACCGTGTGACGCTTCGGTCTCTACATACACGGCCTTACTAGAGCATGTCTAGAGTCTTTTCAGCACCAGCGTACTAATGTTTTAATCGCCGGGGGGAAACAAACTGCCTTTACACAAGCAAAAAGTACCATCGCTCGCGTCCCCAAATGTGGCCAAGGGTGGGTTTTTCAAACCTTTTTTCCGGCACGTCGATTAAAGCACAGAGCGGTGTCTCTCGAGAGCTTACAGTCAGTATTCCACCACCAACCCTAGTCGCCATGAAATGATTTCATTTAGTTTGGTTGCAACTGCTGGGAAGTATAAATCGTCTTGAAACCACCTAGCAAACTTTACTTTTAATGTGTTTTTGCAAAGACACCAGAGGACTCGATGCACTAAACACTGGCCCTACTTGGCAAGGGCTGGACTTGATGATCCCCGGGGGTCCCTTCCACTTCCAACTCTGCCGTTGTAAGATTATAAGATTGTTAGAAGACCTGTCACGTTTCTCAAAACTGTGGCGAGCTTCTTCCTGAAGACACCTGTACTCCAGCAGATTAAGAATAATAAATACCGGTGGCTCATTCCATCATGTATCCCCTGTTCCAGCGTTTGCTCGCTTACGAGAACTGAAAAGCAGAAGCAACTTTGGTTTCGCTAAACGTGGGAGATCCACAGGGGCAGCCCTTTTAAAAATCTCTTAGGATTCTTTGGGCTTTTACTGGATTTTGCTTTTGAAAAGGCAGTGGAAGCCCAGCTTTAATGCTTGTCCGTTCTCTGGTTCACGAAGTGTCACATGAGGTTTTTCCAGGTGGCTCTTGTCACCTGTAAAAAGTGGAAGGAGAGTTGTTTTTCCCCCCTCCACCCCATGAAACGCTCCACCCTTGAAACGGGCAAAAGAGAAAAAGAAAAAGACCTAAATCATCATCTTCAAAGACGTACCTTTGGAACTTTTATCTGGCACTTTCTCTCCTCTGCACCACCTGCGTTTCTGCATGGGGGAGACCTCCGCGTCAGTTTTACTAACCAAAGCGAGGCCGGTGGGAGGGGGAGAGAGGCAGGATTTCAGGCTGGCCGCTTTCCCCCTCGAGCGTCCCTCTTTTGTCTCCTTCCCCCAGGCGGCGAAGTGGTAAAGATCGCCCAGCTGGCCTCCATTGCAGGCGCCCAAGGCCGCATCGCTCAGCCGGAGACGCCGGTAACGCTGCAGTTCCAGGGGAACAAATTCACTTTATCTCACAGCCAGCTCCGCCAGCTGACCGCAGGGCAACCTCTGCAGTTGCAAGGTATGATATGAGACCGGTTTCCCAAAGGAGGAACATCCTTTTCCATTCTGAGTTCACATAATCTTTGTGGATCCATAATACTTGCACATCCATGCTTGGGGTTTCTCAGAGAGGATCCCTTGATCCAGGGTGGGCCACCATGGCCAGCTTTGTGGGGCGGGGTATATGTGTGTTTTGCTTCCGGATCTCTGCGTGAAACACACCAGCCCCAGAAATGGCTGGTGTCGGCCATTCAAAGCACTGGCTCCCAACTTTAGGTTTGGACTGCACCTCCCAGAAGCCTTCACCCCCTCCACTGTGGTGGCTGGGATTTCTGGGAGTTGCAGTCCAGGAACATCTGGGTTACCCAAGGTTGGGAACCCCCTCGCTTTAAAGAGACAGGCAGTGCCTCTGGTTTTGTAGTGAGGAATTTGAGGTTGGCACGTGGAGGCAGTTTTGAGGACTACAGAGAGAGGCCCTTAGTGCCTCTCCCCCCCAAAAAAACTATGCTGCTTTTTTATAAAGCCACTTAAAAGCCTGACATCATTGTCATTTTGAGTGGCTTGGAAGGCTGTCAAAATACAGCCAGTAGGGCGTATTTACCTGCCTTGATTCCTTCAGCACGCTGTATCCTAGGTTGTTCTCATACCCATAACTCAGACCTGGGCTGCTGGGGCCGAGTGAAATGAGCTTGCGTTAAGGTCTGAGTGACAGAAAGATGAGTTTGAACCCAAAGCCGAGTGACCTATGCTGGCTGGGACTGATAGATGGATTCAGGCCGTAGCAATTAGCCCTCTCTTCTTCACAGCATTTCCAGTATGATTTCTTTCCTGTTCATAAAGATAGCAGAGAAGACACGGTAACGCTTAACAAAGGCCACACAAATTGCGGTCAGATGCTTTCCAAACTCCTAATAGCATTTTCACTTTAAAGAAAATGTGTAAATGAAATTATACTGTTCAAAGCTTTTTAATGAGTTGTTTTCAATACTCATTTTATTTTTCTGGGTGCTGTCGTTTCTGCTTATTTTATTTAGCTACCTTTTTCTCATGTCAGAAAACTCTAGATTAATTTGCCTGCTGAATCAGTCAATGCAGCAGAGCAATATGGACGATTAAACAGTGTTTTATGGTGGGGAAAAATGCATTATTTGTCAAAAGATACAGAAATCATCCCTTTATCCCTACTGGTGTCCTCTTTTCCTCCACTTGTATTTGTTCATTTAAAGTATGAGAAGGAAAGGAAGTTACAATAAAGGCTGTATTGATGGGGGTTTCCTCTTCATGCCTATCCATTATTATTATTCATTTGCTTTATTTGCCATATTTTTCCAGGTATAAGACTATACTTTTATTCTAAAATCTTTAGACTAAAAATTGAGGGTAATCTTATACATGGAAGTAAGCTGAGGAGAGAACAAAAACAAGTGGAGGGGAAAGCAGGGATCAAAGCGATCCTGCAGCGCTTTGATCCCTTTCCCCCTACATTTGCTAAACCCCACTTAGATTTCTTAATTTTGGTTTAGAAAAAGTGGGGGGGGGACGTCTTATACATGGAAAAATACGGGTATATCCTGCCTTTCTCCCAGTAAAAGTGCATAAACTGGTTAAACCTGTGTGACAAAAGCTCTATGGATGGATGGTTTTCATTTCTCACAATTGATGGTGTGAAGGAAGGGCTAGAGATTCTTCTGTTTACTATTTTATTTTAACCTTTGCTTTTCTTTCGAGTTTGTTTACGACCCCTTTCCGTTCCCTTTTCTGCCCACCAGGCAGCGTTCTCCAAATCGTTTCAGCCCCCGGGCAGCAGTACCTGAGACCTCAGGGCCCCGTGGTCATGCAGACGGTGTCTCAGGCCGGGACGGTTCAGAACGCTCTGGGAAACCCACACCCGGCTGGCTTGCCAACTTCAGCGGTTGCCCAGCAAGGTGAGATGCCTCTTACCCACATCTTTGCCTTTAAGAAACCAAATCTAATCCAAGGGGCCAAAGGTGGGCAGCTTCTGAAGATCCAAGGGGAACATTTTTTCTTTCTTTCTCCTTGGCCGTGGAGAATGGCACACTTTTTAAAAAAGAAATCAAAACAGAAGGTGTTTTAAAAGTCTTAAGACTTGTGGAGAATTATAATTTGCGATGCCCGACGGTCCCTCTCGGGACCCTCCAGAGCAGCCACTCTCAACGGGGGGGAGGGATGGGGTCCCCTGGCGCATTTGAAGGGGGGCACAGACAGGCGACAGTTCTTCATGCACCACCTTAACGGGCTCTTTATGAAACTCCCACGGTCCCAATCCGGCCTCTCTTTCGTGTGTTTATGGCCGTGGCCAAAAGAAAAGGTTGAGGATGTTTACTCTAAGGGAGGGGAGGCACCGTTTGCCATGTTGGACCAAAGCCATGGAAGGACGCAGCATCAAAGTATTTTCAGGCTGGAGTTGAGCCCCGAATACTTGAGCCAAAACGTATTTTGGAAGGGACATTTCCTGAAGATCTTTGCCTCTAGACAGGGTCGTCATGATGGCATTTTAGTGGCCCCTTGGGCAGCCCGTGCCCCCTAGCCATCTGTGGAGTTTAGAAGCTAAAACAGATATTTTGAGTGAGGCCCAGATGATGATGATGATGATGATGATGGCACCCTTATCCCTTTTGGTTGTGTTTGTCCGCTGTGTGCCTACATCCTCTTAAAAAAAAATTAATTGCTGTACAGTACGTATATTTTTATTATTTCCCAAAAGCTGCCCGGAGTAGTGTTTTATCTTTAAATGTGTGTTCCAGGTCGAACCGTGGGCGCGAATTTGGCTTCGGGGGATTCCACGTCGTCCTTAAAACCTGGCCTTATTCATGGAGGACACGCACAGGTATTTTTCTCGCTGTCACTGTTACGACTTCAGTGTTTAGATTAACATGCTGACTTTGAAGGGGAGAGCCGTAGCCAGCCGTGGAGAACCCCCTGTCCATGATCTCTGGCAACTCCAACCTGAAACCCTTGGAAACGGCTTCCAGTTGAGTTGACAGTACTGAGCCTACATAGAACAATGGGTCCCGCTCAATAGGGAGAGAACTTTACTTCCTAAAGACTCCCATTTTCTTTCTTCTTTTAAATTCAAAAGCAAATAAAGATTAGCCGTTTTCCCACCACCACCTTCTTTGGCTTCTAAACCAAAATACATACGTATGTTTTTTCTTTCCAATGTTTGGGTCTTTCCCATTTTTTTAAAGACATCTTTTAAAAATACGGCATTGTGGCGGGTTTGTTCTTTTTCCCCCCCCCGATGTCTTTGTGGCGGGTTAGTTCTTTCCCCCGCCGCTGATGGAATTTCTTTCTTATAGCGCTTGCACTTGGCATAAAAAAATTGGGGAGAAAGAGATTCCACCAGCGCGGCATGAATGCAGATTGCAACGCGTTTGGGAGGTGACTGGTGATTTTTAAAGGAAGAGTAGAAGGAAATTCTTAGCTCGTTTTGAAAAATGCAATGCTTGCTAAGACTGGAGAACTTAAAACGGCAATATCTAAAGTCCATTACACTTGGTGTCGTTGTACAGTGTGAACTAGTACACAGCCCACTAGCCCACTCTTATGTATGTATGTTTGGAATTAACTTCCTTCTGTTAGTCTGCGGAACTTACTTCTGAGTATCACTCCTGAGTCGCTCACTGGTTTAGGTAGAGCCAAAAGTTGGGTGTTCGATTCCCGATGGTGCCCCACTGTCAGGGGCTGGCCTTCATGATCCATCAGGTCCCTTCCAACTCTGCAATTCTAGGATTATTACAATGACCAACTTTGAATTTGTTTGAGCAAAGGAGTTTTTATGAATAGTCATAGCTATGTCAGTCTGCTGCATGAGAACACCCACGTTTTATGACAACTTAAAAGAGTCAAAAAGACTGGCTGGATAGCTCAGTGGCTTAGATCTCTGGCAGTGGAGCCAGAGGTTGGGAGTTCGATTCCCCCACTACTGAGCCTCCTTGACCATGGGCTGGACTTGATGATCTACAGGGTCCCTTCCAGCTCTGTAGCTCCAAGACTTGCTGGATAGCTCAGTGGCTTAGGCACCCACCTGTAGAACCAGAAGCTGGGAGTTCGATTCCCCGACTGGGCCTCCTTGAATGGAGGCTGGACTCATTGATCCCTCGGGTCCAATCCAGCTCTAAGATAAATGAGTTGAGGATTGTATCCGGGTTACAGATGTTGAACTTTGGAACAAACTTTCCAAATTTGGAGAGCCGAGCACGCTATCCGGGACTTGTTGCCACCGTTGCCCTTAGAAATGAGCTCAAGTTTTCATTCGTTTGTGTCTCTGCTGTTGCCCAAGGAGTCTTTCGAGGAAAAAAACCGGCTGCTGAAGGAGCGCCTGGATCGGATCTTCTCTTCCAACGAGCGCCGCTGCGCCCGGGCACCTGTGTACGGCAGAGATCTCGTGACGCTTTGCACCCTGGTGGGGGACAGAAGGACGGCCCCTCAGTGGTCCGCCGGAGTCCGGAAGTGGAGCTGGGCCGGCTTTGCCAACTGTTGCCTCTCGTCGGCGCCGTCTGAGGATGGCAGCAACCTGCCGCTGCCAGGAATTGGCCAGGCGCTGGCGCAGCAGCGGGAATCCCTGAGAGATGTTGTGAACAGGTAATGGGGGTGTACGCAAGCTGGACGTGGTCTCGAACCTTCAGCGATCTAGTCCTTTAGCAACCTTATTACAGGGATAACCCTAAGATCTCAGTCTGGGTCATGGAACGTTGTGCACCTTCTAAAACGTGTGCAAACTTAAAAAATTCACCAAAAATTAATGAAGAGTCCGAACAAAGCCAAATTAAGTTTGCAAAGGTTTTACAAGGTGCACTAACGATCCCAAGCATTTAAAAAAGTTTTTGAACATTTTAAGACACTTTAAAAATAGCGAAAACAAACGTCGCAAAACCATTGGAATGCATTGAATAGGCTTCAATGCATTCCAATGGGGGGAAACATTGTTTCGCTTAGCGATGTTTCCTATGGCGATTTTCGCTTAAGGATGGTAATCCGTTCCCATTGGCCCTCTCTTTCCCACCCTCCTCCCAGTAGGCGCCAGAAGCGGCCAGCTTCCTAAAGGTTCAGAACCCCCCCTTTTCTCCCCCCCGCCGGTTGCCAGTTAAGTGCTATTAATTGGTAACCCAGCTGCTGTAGTCACCTATCTTTCATCAGACACTTATGTATAAAGCTTTCCACGGTTTGGGACCTTGTTACTTGTTGGAGTGTCTCCCTAAGGTCACTTGCCCAACCCACCAGATCTTCCCAGGCTAGGCTCCGCCACGTAGCCCTCCTAAGCTTTATGCTATCAATGGTTTTTAAGTTTTTATTGTTTATTTGTTGTTTATGAGTATAAACAGGTGACAGATTGTATTTGTCCTCAGTGTGGAATGGATGGCCACTCTCAAATGGGCCTTCTCACCCACACTAGACGCTGTTCCAAGTCCTCCATACAGAGCACGTTATCATAGTCTCTCGAGATTGAGGGATGCCTAATCTAACGAGTATATGTTCTGTTTTGTTGTAAACCTCCTAGTGAATCACACTGATGGGGCAGTTTATTGATTGAATGAATGAATTTCCAGTGTTCTTGCTTTGTTTCTCAGGATGCTCTCTGTGTTGCCGGCCGCGGTGGCCGCTCCTCCGTCCCTGTGTGTGGCAAAGCTCCCGGCTCTCTATAGCCATAGAATGAAGCTGCTCCGGTATGGTTTGAAAGAGAAGGCAGCACCCTTCCTGCGCCAGCTGCAGGAGCTCACCACTCCCCAGTTGCTCCAGTTTCCTGACCTCCGATTGGTGCAATACGATGCAGGTAGGGGCGCGGAACCTTAAAAAGCAAACAAGCCAAATATCTGTGTATTCCCCCCCCCCTTCCCCCAGACCTTTCTAAAAAAAAGCTCTGAGACTCCTTTCTTTGTGAAACACAGGGAAGCTGGAAGCCCTGGCCGTCTTGCTTCAGAAGCTGAAGTCGGAAGGACGCCGGGTGCTGATCCTGTCCCAGATGATTCTCATGCTGGACATCCTGGAGCTGTTCTTGGACTTCCATTCCCTCACCTACGTGAGGATCGACGAGTGCGCGAATCAGGAAGAACGCCAGGTCAGTGTGATGATTTGGAACCGCCTCCGGGCTGTCGTCTTGCTTTCGCACCCTTTCAAACAGAAGGATGTGTCAGCTGAAAGAGTAGGACTCCGTTTATTTATGGTTTGAACTTCCTTCCTTTTGTACAGCTTCCCCCCCCCCAATAGCCTCGCCTTACCCCTGTTCTTAGAGCATCCCTGGAAACAAGGGTTGGAGAAATGTTCTATGCATCGAAATTGGGGTCACCTTTTTGGTAAATATTTACAGGTGTACACCTTTTTTTTATAGAGCAGGGCAATTTCCTCTTTTCCCAAAGGATGTTTTTCGGGTCCACCATTTGTGCCCTCAAATCACCTCCGACTTAACGGCGAACCTATGAATGAGTGATCTCCCAAATCCCCTGCCCTCAACCACCCTCGGCCAGCTCTTGCAAACTCAAGCCCGTGGCTTCCTTTAGGGAACCATTCCATCTCTTAGCCAGCCTTCCTCACTTCCTGGCTGGCTTTCCTGGCTGGCTTCGTTCCACCGCTTGCGTTCTCCCCCCCCCCTCCCTTGTTCCTCCAAGGAGCTGATGAAGGCCTTCAACCGAGACCGGCGCATCTTCTGTGCGATCCTGTCTTCGCACAGTCGCTCCACGGGCGTCAACCTCGTCGAAGCCGACACCGTAGTGTTTTACGACAACGATTTGAATCCCGTGATGGATGCGAAGGCCCAGGAGTGGTGTGACCGGATCGGCAGGTGCAAGGACATCCATATCTACAGGTGAGGCTTGCAAAGTACTGTATTTTTCCATTCTTAAGACGCCCCCATGTATAAGACGCCCCCCACTTTTCTAATCCAAAATTAAGAAAAATAAGTGGGGCTTAAGCAAGTGTAGGGGGAAAGGGATCAAAGCGCTGCAGGATCACTTTGATCCCTGCTTTCCCCTCCACTTGTTTTTGTTCTCTCCTCAGCTTACTTCCGTGTATAAGACGACCATCAATTTTTAGTCTAAAGATTTTGAACAAAAGTATAGTTTTATACATGGGAAAATTACGGTAATTCATCTGCAAAGGGGGGGAGAAGAAAAAAACACAAAAACTGAAAGGCTGAAAGGCAGAACATGAACCTTTCTCCTTGGCTTAAAAAATGGGGTCCCTTCCTACCCACTCACCCACTCCCCAACCAGCTCTTCTTCTCCCTTCCTCTTACTGTCCCGTTCCTCTCATCTTCCTGGATCTCTCCGTCAGGCCTCAGGTGGAAACCGGCCTGTGCGGGCGCATGTCTTTATAAGCCACAGTGACGATCTAGATCAGCCATGGTACACCTTGTTTTGTCCTCAGCGCCAAGCCCCCCGGACAAACAAGGAAAACTTTGGGGCTGTTTGCAGACAAGGATACGGCACGAACCGGTGAATTTGTGGGCTCCTCAAACGTGTCAGCCCCCCCTCTCCCCAGGGAGCCATATGAGAATGGCTGGTCTAGATCAGCGGCTCCCAACCTTGCAGTTCTTGGAGCGCAGCACCCATAAATGCTGGCCACGCGGTGGGAATTGTAGTCTAGGAACACTTGGGTTACCCAGAGTGGGAAGTCAGTGATCTCAAGACATTTTATATCCACAGCGGTAGCCTGTAATGTTGGTTTGGGAGCACAAACGAGGCTTGCGAAACCAAGCGGGCTGGTTGTCTACCATCCCATAGAACTTAAAAAAAAAAAAAAACAACTCCCTGGGCCATTTATAATTTATATCCCCCCCTCCCCCTGCGAGCTGGGTACTCAGTTTATCAAGCTTGGAAAGATGGAAGACTGAGTGAACCTCGAGCCGGCTCTCTGAGCCTGGGATCGAACTCGGATTGTGACCAGAACTTTGACTGCGGTACTGCCATTCAGCCACTGCACCACAAGGCCACTCTACCATCCTTGTTTGTTGTTACGTGCTGTCTCGCTGATCCCAACCTACCGTTGACCCTATGAATTGGTTGACCTCCGAAAGAATCAGTAGTGTTCTTGTACAATAGATTAAAACAACCCTGTCCTCGCGTACCTTCCTGCCCTCTTCTTCAGTTATAAAGGCCGGAAAAAAAAATATCCAGTTGTCATAATCCAGTAAAATTCAGGCGGTTCTATCCGTGATGGACGGGCTGCCTGCTTCGTAGATTTCAGTCGACCTTTTTGGTTTCTCCAGGCTCGTCAGTGGGAACTCGGTAGAGGAGAAGCTCTTAAAAAACGGCACAAAGGATTTGATCCGAGAAGTGGCTGCCCAGGGGAATGACTACTCCATGGCCTTTTTGACACAGGTATTCCTGCCAGATTAGGCGTTTTTATATTCTAAAATATTTCACTGTCTTTTATTTTATTGACTCGATTTCGATTCCTTATTGACGCTTTCCGAGTCTTGTCCTGAGAGGCTTCCGTTCGATTTGTCGAGTCGAGATCACCCCGATGACGATCTTCTCCACCTCTTCGTCTTCAGGGGTGCGGTGGGCTACGGCTGGAAGAGCCCTGAGCTACCTTGCAGCTCAAAAAAACCCAAGGATGGATGTGGCCTTTATTAATCTTAGAGGGGGAAGATTCTTTCACCGCTTCTCTTTGCCTCCCTCCTTTCGCAGCAAACCATTCAGGAGCTCTTTGAGGTTCATTCCCCGATGGAGGATGCCGGCTTCAGGGTGAAAGCAGAGGAGTTCGTGATGCTTTCTCAGGAGCCCTCCCCGGCTGAAACCATCTCTGCCAAAGTGGCAAGGCCTTTTATAGAGGTGAGGAGAACACCCATTACACTGAGTTTGCATAGCGTGATGGATGAGAGGGTAGACGCCCAAGTAGAAATCCCAGCCTCCGCAGGAAACGCTGTGGGTCGCCTTGGCTAGATGCTTCCAGGTTAACCTAGTCCTCTGACCCACACTCGGTTTCCCGACATGGAAGACCGATCGAACCTCGAGCCCGGCTGCCTGGGATTTAACCCAGGTTGTAAGCAGAGTTTGGGCTACAGTACTGCAGTTGAACCACTGTGACACCCTTGTGTTTTTAAAAGGCTCTCAAAAGCACCGAGCGCGAAGAAGAGGAAGAAATGAACCCACGCATTCCGGAGACGCAGTCCGAGTCGGCTTCGGAGCCCCTCGTTTCGGAACTGGGGAAGCCCGAGTACCTCGAGGAGCCTTCCCAGCTGCAGGAACTGGTTGCTGTCGTGGATCAGGTGCTGTGGCTTTCCATGGATGGTTGGAACCCCTGGGAGAACATTGGTTGTTTTTATTAGGACTGGTTATAAAAACGCCCAGGAGGGCGCTCAGCCTAGAGAGGCTGCCAGAATGAACAGTTCTCCGGCTATGCCCGTTCCCAGAGCAAGAAGACTCTGTCTCCCAACATTTACTTTTGCAGAGAATGACTTTTCTGTGTTTCCTTTCTTTCTCCCCCCCTTCTCCCCCCCCCAGCTCACGCCGATAGAAAAGTATGCTTTGAATTACCTGGAGTTCTTTCATGTTTCAGCGGAGGACGGTGAACCAAAAGAAAATGAGGTACAGTGTGTGTGTGTGTGCTTTCTGAGATTTCCCTTAGAGTCTTACATGGTAGACTGGTGTGTAAGAAAGCAACATCCACTCAGGATCCTTAGGAAATCCTTCTTTGCTTCTCTGCTTTTAAAGCTGATGTACCGTGATCTCTTAATACTGGAACAAGCAGTGGTACGCAGTACCACTGACAGGCCATAGAGGTAGTCTAGGTGAGAATCGGGGGGCCTTTTTAAATTGCATTTTAAAATATGTTATCTTTAAATTTTTTTGTGACCGCGTTTTTTTACACTGTTCTTAGAAGCGCAAACAAATAGAAATAGTAATGTGGTTCCTTTCGTCAAGTTTGCAGCGCAAACGATATGAGAGACTGGAAATAAGGGTGGAGGAGCCCGAATGGGGTTTTATATTCCAAAGTTGCTTACACAAAGGAATCTTAGCTTTGGGCAGATAGCAAAACCTAACCATTTGCCTGGTTTTGTGCTGGCCGAGTTGGCAATGAATTCACTAAACTCGGACATTGCTTGGCAAACAAACCTACTGAATGGACTTTACTTCATGTTAACGCCAGTATTTCAATGTTGGCTGAAGAATCCGTGGCTTGCTTGATGATGTGGGACTTGCGCAGCTGCATCCAGCATGTCTTGTAGTCTAGAGTGATGGAATTTCAAGAAACGTGTGTGTGTGTGTTTTTTTTAAGTCACCTACATAACTATAAGCATGTAAAAATGTCACATGACTTGTGTTAGAATACATTAAGAATTTTCTGACTATGGCATTGTGCAGAAAAATGCTTGGAGAAATGGATAGTAGTAGTAAAATTCATCACCACCTCATCAGAATCGTTCTCAGTACATTAACTTGTCCTTGGTTTTAACCGCCACAACCTTTTCTCGATAAAAAACAAATCTAGGAGGAAACAAGAAGTGCAAAAAAGTCATGGGAGAGCCGCCATCTGAAAGAGCTAAAAGAACACGAGGAGAAAACACTTCTGGATGGGGAGGAGGAAGAACTGCTCACCTACACCCGGGAAGACGCATACAACAAAGTAAATGTGATGTCGCTTCAACAGTTGTTACAATTGTTTGCGAGTGGAGCTTGGGACCAAATGCCACTCTGGATCTTTGCCTCTGGCAAGAAGGGCCAGTCTTTACCCTCTTCTGGGATTGCCATTCCTTTCCATTCTATGTTATTCCTCAGTTGACGTATTTCACCATTCTTGGGCTTCTTGGTCCTCCTAGGGCTGGGTTCTTTTGTTGTTCTTGTCTTGGTACAATCCTGTATATATTCCCGAGCATACATACAGTGCTATTCTATTCCCCAGATATACCATTTGTTTCAACCCATTGTTTGGTACATATTTGTATTTATTTAAGAAGATTTTTCTATTCCTCCTCCTTTAAACCACATCAAAGTAGTTTGCAATAAAAGCAAATAAAATGAAACCAGTTAAAAAAATATGAAACAATACAACACAACAAATTACTTCACTGAAAGTAATTCTTTATAAATCGGAAATGACAGATAAAATTAACAATGAGGGGAAAAATCAGGAAGATACCGGGATGGAAATACCTAAGACCCACACCACAACCATAAAGAGAGATCATTTTACGTGGTGGGCTCCCAACACAGGAAACATCCTGTTGAGTTGCTCTTAAAAGGAGTGACCATAGAGTCTAGTCTTTTTTGTTAGAACTGAAATAGATCTCCTTGTTTTTCTCTTGTCCAGGAATATATTTACGAAGGCCCGGATGGACAAACGGAAATCATGCCAGTAAGTTGTCCCATTTAACTCTTGTAACTTCTTCAGAGTGCAGCAAAAAAAAAAGCCATATGCAACCGTACAAAGAAGCCGGGGTAATATTATCCTCTGATGTTTTGTGTAGCTGTGGACTCCCCCAACTCCGCCTCAAGACGACAACGATATTTACATCGACTCTGTAATGTGCCTGATGTACGAGACCACCCCTATCCCGGAGGCCAAGCTGCCCCCTGTTTATGTCAGAAAGGAGCGCAAGCGTCACAAGACGGATCCCTCGAGTGAGTGTCCTCTGGTTTTAAATTTTTTATCTTTAAATTTAATTTAAAAAAAAAAAACACCTCTAGAACACCTCCAGCTTTTGCTTTGTGAGAGAAGATGGAAGAGATTCTGTGTCCAGAAGCAAAGCGAAGTTGAGAATCGGAAAAGCAGAATGATGTGGAGTTTTCTTCCTTCCTTTCCTTTACTTTCCTCCTGTCTTTCTTGCCTTTCTTCTAAATAATCTAAGGCGACTTAGAGAATTAAAGTGAAAAGCACAAATTAAAAAAAAGTATATTTCAAAAAGAAGGAAACATGAAAAAACTCTGCTGTTCTGTCCAGCTTTCCAACTCCTTGGAAATACCGAGACAGGAGTCCGCTGTATCTTCCAGCTATTGTGTCAACTGCTGCTCACCTACCTCTTAATGCTTTTTAACGTGTTTAATTTGATTTTCTCTGTACTTTTAATTTTCGGCTGCTGCTTTTTGTGTGCTACTGTGTTATTACGGTTATTTTTATTGCTATAAACCACCCAGAGTGGTTGATCTCTGGTATAGAGATCAACTAAATAGACAGACAGACGGGTCTATTTAATCTCGTAGAGGAGCAGCCATGACTGGCTTCAATCATAAATGAAATGATAAACCAAGGTCAGACGGTGGCCGTTGTCTGGATCCACAGAAGGGTGGATATCTCAGGTTTGCTCTTCCTTTCCTTTCCTTCTCCTAACGGCTCTTGGCCTTTTCCAGCGGTGGGGAGGAAGAAGAAGCAGCGCCACGGGGAGACTGTCATCCCCCCTCGCTCCCTCTTTGACCGAGCCACTCCAGGGATGCTGAAGATGAGGCGGGAGAGTAAAGAGCAGAAGAAGAACCTCCTGCTGAAGCAGCAGACGCAGTTTGCCAAGCCTTTGCCCACCCTGGTGAAGCCGGCGGCCGAGGCTGGCCAGGATAACCCCGAGTGGCTCATCAGCGAGGATTGGGCCCTCCTCCAGGTGAGAGGGTAGGGGTCAGGACAGGATGACGTTGGAAACCCTTCCCTACAAGGCCTTCTCCGGTGGCTGGAACTCCCACTCTTGTCTCTCCCATGCGACCAGCCCTTCCGAGCTGGGAGCAGACTATTGCATCCCCTTCCCGGTCTTCAGTCTTCTCCTCTCCAGGAGAAACGTACTCAAACCTGCTCAACCGTTCCTTGGTTGGGCTCTCTCTCCGGACCTGGGAGAGTCTAGTCCACCTGCATGGCAAAAATAAAAGGGCAGCTATAAGCAAACCTGGATCGCTCAATGGGTTAGATCTCTGGCTGCGGAGCCAGAGGCTGGGAATTCGAATTTGTGCCTCTTGGGAGAACAGCCGGCCTGGGTAGCCTTGGGGCCCAGCGGCGCAGTCCCAGGACAGCAGCTCCAGAAGAAGGGAACGGGAAACCGCTTCTCACTACTCTCTACCTAGAAAACTCTGGAAAGGGTTGCCGTGAGTCAGAACTGATTTGACGGCATGCAATTCCTGCGATTGTAAGCAGATCTGGGTTGAATAACAAATGCTGAACTTTCTCCCCCCTTTTTTTGATGCTATCAAGGAATCCAGACCCTGGATAAATAAACCAGCCTCCAGCTTTGCAATTCTTTAGAAAGAGCAAATTTCTGTCATTGTGGTGTTTTGTTGGCAAAGCTTCAGTTCCTCCCTGGATCTGTTAGTGCTTGGACCGAACGGGACCTTGTGGGTTCTCCTCCGGTCGCCTCTGCATCTCATCTCTTTTTCTCTCCTGCAGGCTGTCAAGCAGTTGCTGGAGCTCCCCCTCAACCTCGCCGTCGTGTCGCCGGCTCACACCCCCAACTGGGACCTGGTCAGCGACGTGGTGAATTCCTGCAGCCGGGTCTACCGCTCTCCGAAGCAGTGCCGGAACCGCTACGAGAACGTCGTCATTCCCAGAGAGGAAGGGAAGGTGGGTTTCGCCGGAGACGTGCGTTTTCCTCCTACATCCTTTTTGGTGTGTCGGCAGCGTTAACCTTAGGCAGATCCAATTCGTAAAAAGGTCGTCCTTCCTTGTGAATTTTTTTAAAATTGTATTTTTCTTTCTCGTGCGCTCTTTTTAATTTTTTTTTGTGTTTTTAAATTGTCAGGGAGCTTTAGATTTCCTCACGACGAATCTGTGAGGCAGGCCACTATCATGCTCATTTTATTGACGGGGAGTTGAGGCTGAGACCTCGTAACTTGTCCAAGGCCTCCCGGCATGCTTTCCCTTCCCAGCTTTTTGGGTTGGCCAGAGATATGACCTCTGACCTCCTGGGCCTTAAGCTCCGCCTTTTGTCCACTGTCCCCCCTACACTGGCTCTTCTAGAGGCTTTCGATTTATGTCGGTGCTCTACCCCCCGAACCCATCGCAGAAAGTCAAACTTTGCTTCTTATTTTACAGCTTATGTATGAAGTGAACACTAAGAAGAAGACAAAAAGCATTTATAAGGTGTGCACTTATAAATTGTTGTTCCAATGCAGAGAGTCTGGTATCTTAAGCATCAGCAGAGGTGGACACAAAGATGAAATAGGCATTGTTATTTTATTTTTTTTAAATTTGAGCCCCGATTTGAACCCTAAACTGGCCGTTTAAAGCCTTTGCAATTTGTGTCTCGCCAACACAATAGATGTTAACACTGGGCAAATCTTTAGTCTCAAAAAACGTACGAGCTAAAGACCGGTTTTGCGCACCCTCGGCCATTCTAAAGTTAGCTTGGAGTCTTTTTTTTAAAAAAAAACACACAGTTTGTCCACCTCGCAGAAATGCCACCTCTTTCCGCATGATGTGTTACAATTAATACCTCTTTAATTTTAATTATAACAATACAATGTGTTTTTTGTCGCTAGCCTTTTTTTTTTACTTTTTTGAAATCTGATTGCTTTGCAGACTTTTAATGAATTAACCCCTGCAACGCCCCACCAGGTAACGTATCACGCACCCACCCAATTTATAGCAGCAGGAATGTAATCACATCGTAGTCATAGTAAAAGGGGGCAGTGGTCATGAACCACCAGAACAGTTGTCGGGGAAATAAAGAGTATGAGCAAAATTGGGCTAATAGAGAAAGGGGGCTTCTGGCCACCAACTGAAGCTCCTGTTAAGCTTCTTTTCTGATGGGAAGAACTGAAGAAGGTCTTTGATCCATTCCAATTTGACACGGCATCTGTTTGCCATCCAGTTCTGCAGCCAAAGGGGTATGGGCGTGTGCATTCATGTGTTCAAGTGTGTACGCGTCTCTGTGTAGCCCAAGGCACAAGCGATGTTGGTGGGAGATTCGGTAATCTGTTCGGAGCCTTCTAACGAAGAACATACAATGTGTACAGTGGTGCCTCGCTAGACAGTTACCCCGCATGACAGTTTTTTCGCTAGACATTGACTTTTTGCGATCGCTATAGTGATTCTCAAAACAGTGATTCCTATGGGGGAATTTCGCCGGACAATGTTTGGTCCCTGCTTCGCAAACCGATTTTCGCTAGACAACGATTTTGACAGCTCCTTCTGTGCTCACAAAACGGGAGTTTTTGGGACCTAAGCTTCAAAAGACAGCTATTTAAACAGCTGATTGGCGGTTTGCAAAGCGGCTTTCCTATGGCCGATCTTCGCTAGACAACGACGATTCTTCCCCATTAGAATGCATTACACAGGTTTCAATGCATTCCAACGGGGAAATGCTTTTCGCTAGACGATGATTTTGCTAAACAGTGATTTCAGTGGAACGGATTATCATCATCTAACGAGGCACCACTGTAACTAGAATAGTTGTGAGTGTGTGAGCCTGTTTAGCTGGCCTTTTATGGCTTTTAGAAGTCCATGCTATAAAGTGCACAACAGGTAGTTAATCTGTGGCTCAGTGGGCCTGGACAATTTTAAGATAAGACAGGTTAACACAAAGGGGAGACTAAGATAAGGAAAAACCAACTTTTTTTTCTTCAAAAAATAAAAACCGGAACATAAAGTGATCTGTGCCAGTTGGTTAACTCAGATGTTCTTAGACTACCACTCCCAGAAGTCCTGGCCACTGCAGCTCTTGGACTACCACTCCCAGAAATCCTGGCCACTGCAGGTCGTGGAGAAGGCTTCTGAGAGTTGCAGTCCAAGAACATCTGGGGGACCCATGGTTGGGAAGCATTGCCCTGGAGGGCAGGAGTAGAACTAGATAGTAGAAAAAAAGGACAGGGAAGCAGATTTTGGCTAAGTAAGTCACCAGGCCTGGCTTTGAAAGGCAGGTGAGGTCTCTGCTGCTGGGGAGATTTCGACACCCTCTGGGGACACATGTTTTGCAAACCTTGCTTGGAGCAAAGGGTGAGACCAGATCTCTTTCGGACATCTGGGGACCCAAGGCTGGGACCCCACTGGTCTAGCTTGATGAAATCTGCCAGCAGTTAACTCCGATGCATTTCTCCTTCTGACGCATGTCGGCATTTATTTCACTGAAAACCTCCGGTTTGGTCTGCTGACTGTTCCCAGCTTCTCTTGCTCCACAGAATAGGAAGAGAACCAAGCCGGTCGACCCGCATCTTCTGGGAAGGGAAAGTGAAATCCGACGGGAATGGGCGGGAGTCAGGTTGGGGAGGCAAAGAGGAGGGTTATTGTGAGGTTTAGGGGGCGGGAAGGAGGGCACGGAACGGCTCTGGAACACGGGGAGACGATGAAGGTTTGTTTCGGATCAGGAAGCCCTTTAGAGGTACAAGGGCAATGGCATGTCCCGCAAATGTTCCTAAACCTTCCGCCTTCGTTTTATAAGGTTTCATGAAATTGGAATGCCATCCCCATTCCTATTTTCTGTGTTTTTTTGGACACTTGGAATCAGTGTGCCGGTTAATTGCAGATGAAATTGGCTCCTTCTGTTTGCTTACGGGATGGCGAACGAGCCCTGCCTCTTTCCCGTGTGAACTTCAGCACGGCTTCCATTTCAGAGTGAACGGCGGCCTGGGCCACCTTTGGGCTCGCTGCTGGTTAGTTCGGAGCAAGAGTTTAAAAGTCTTGAGCAGAAGAGCCCAATTTACAAAGGCTGTCTAGGAACCAGGGTAACGTGAGTGCCAATGTTCTGCCATGCAGTGGTTATGTCTGAAAAGCAAAGAGGGGAGGAGAGTGTCTCAGCCCTGGTTAAAAGTCAGGCAATAAGCAGGCGTAGGTTATAGTCAAACTTTTGTGTTTGACCTGCTTTGGCTTAACTGAGTGGTTGGTATATTCTCGTAACGGTAGGCAAACAGGTGTGTTTGTGTGTGTGTGGATGAATTTGCTGTGGATGAATGAGTACCGTCGTTTTGCTCTCTCTTAGACCAAGAACAGTCGTCCACTTCGAACCAATCAGCTGTACGCCCAAGACGAGGGCGCGACGCACACCCAGCTTTACACCAATCATTTCGAGATGATGAAAATGATTGCTGGGAAAAGAAGCCCGCCCATCAAACCCTTGTAAGTGGATGGAAGAGGCTTCTCTCTTAGGTTAGCTGAACTGAAACCAGTGTGGTGGACAGACAGACTAGCTGTTTATAGTTCAGCCGTTGTATCAAAAGAGGCATTCGTGAAAACAGTGATGGAACTGAAATCAGTGTGCTGAAATCGGAAGTCGTTTATCTAAACGCCAGCTAAAATGCACAGGTACTTGAGGATCATGGGGAGAAGAAGTCTTAACTTGGTGCTTGCAGTTAGTTAAAAAAAAACCACCAGCTGAGTCTTTTCCCATAAATTGGGTTCTATCGCTAAAATAAATTTTTAAAAAATCATACGGTAGAGGCTGCCTTATCTCTGAAGACAGGGGCACTGGAAGAAGAAAGCGCTTCTGACGTAAATCTTAATTTGGGGACAGGGTTGCGCCCTGGTCCCATGCCTTAAATACCTTCAACGGTTAAATGACATATATTTGGGATTGGACTTGGAAAACTAACAGGAGGACAGTGGGGCACCATTTCAGCCCGGCTGCCAGAGCTTAACGAGTAGCTGACATTTCTCCCCCGTTTTCGTGCCCAAGACGGCGCTCGATGCAGCTAATTCTACTGAGAGCCAAATAAAAGCGAAAATACGGATTAAGCGTAAAAGGGCTGAAAAAGTTGCGAGGAGCGGCACCGTGGTTTAAATTCCCAATCGCTAATTTCACCCCGTCTTCTATATCCCCCCACTCCCTTTCCCGCCCCCTTCTGTATTTCAGGCTTGGCATGAATCCTTTTCAGAAGAACCCAAAGCACACATCGGTACTAGCAGAAAGGTAAGGAATTATCAGCAAGCGGGAGAGGGCTTTGTGTGGTTGTGGGTGCGAGACTCTGCCACAAGAGGAGCACTCATCCAGAATACCTTCTTCAAATACTGTATTTTGAGAAATGTTGGCCAGGAAGTTCATTCCGAACCTAGGCATATTGGGCAGAGAGCCCAGCTAAAATCAAACCCTTTAAAGTCCTCCTCTAATATCTGTAGGAGAGGTCTTAATTTTTTTTTTAACCTAACGCTTCACGTTGACTTCCATGGGCTTTAAAACCTCTTGACATTCGGGGTAGATCATGGTATTTTCTTTTTGTTCATTGGCACATCTAAGTCATGTCATTCCTCTCTTCCCAGCGGCATTAACTACGATAAGCCGCTGCCCCCCATCCAGGTGGCGTCCCTCCGAGCCGAGCGCATTGCGAAGGAGAAGAAGGTAGGCGATGCGAGACGGTTTGATCCTTGGCTTGTAAAGGGTCAGGTCAAAAAAAAAGGAAGAAAGAAAGGAAGGGGAGCCATTGAAAATCTGTTTTCCTCCCTGACCCGCTTACAATATGGTGTGAGTGTTGCAGTGGGGCCCAGGAATATGGGGCCTCCAGGGAGAGGAGGGCAATGCATCCCGCACACCAGAAAGATTTCCCCTTCACTGATCAGAAAGCCACCGTTCTTCGTCCTGCAAGCCTCGACTTCACGACTGGGAAGAAACTCGCTCCCACCCGTGGCAGACCATCTGGGAGGAGATGTATTCATGAAAGTCATATTTGGTTCAGGAAGAGCAACAGTGGGGTAGTAACTTGGAGTAACGCATGGTGTGGAGAGGTTTTTTTAATCATCCTCATTTCCTACATGTCACTCCCACCTTTCCTCCGAGAGTCTCAAGATGCTGTTCCTCCCCATTTTTTTTTTTAACCCTCACAATAACCCTGTGACATGGACCAGGCCAATAGACTCACCCAAGATCACCCATTAAGATTCATAGGGATTTGAACCCGGGCGTCCCGAGTCTTGAGTCGGTACACTTCCCTCCGCACAGCGTGGGTGTCGCTCTTTCTCCCCATGCTGTTTTTCTTCTCCGGTGGGACGCTTCGCACACAGGGCATGGGGAACGGGGTCAGCCCTCTCTTCCCCCCCCCCTCTGGGCAGCCATCATAGTTTCTATCAGAAGGAGGTCTCCGACACCTTCCCCTCTTCCGCTTGTCCCAGGGATCGAAACCCGAGCCTTAAGCCCCTTGCCAATGAAAGCCAGCCAGCCAGCCGGCAGAGGCTTGGGGGCCACCTTTCAACCGTCGGCTTTCCTTTGGAGACCCACCGGCCCCGTACGAGGCGCGACTCTTGACCTTCTCCTTCTTTTTTTCTTCCCCAGGCTTTGGCAGAGCACCAAGGCCAGGCCGTCCCGCAGCCTCAGGCGGTGGTCCAGGCCGCCGTCACCACGGTGGCCAGCACGGCAGTCCTGGTAAGACATCACGCTTCGCTGGTCGGCTGGAACCCGCCGGGGCGGGAAGCTCCGGGAGTCCGTGGGCTCCGTTCTTTTGCTGGGGCTTAGCTGGGTCGCGTCGGCTCTCGATGCTTCTGTGAGCACAGGGTGGCCCCTTTCTGGAAAGTCAGGGGAATGGTGACTACAATCTATTTAAAAGTTGGACTTTTTTTCACCTGCTGCTGCAAGAGCATGATCTGTTCTGGAATAGAGAAGCACCACAAGAAAAACTTAATGATGCCTTTTCCCGGCTCCGCCGTTTTCTCAGCTCCAAACCGCCGCCCCCCCCCCCCGCAACCAGCCTGCTAAGCTCTGTCCCTGCGCGAATTTCCACGGGCTGCCC